TCGTGCCAATCATGATGGCAAGAGGTTGCTCTCTCTTTCGCAGTCCATTCTCTTGGGTTGCGGGAAACGACGCGATTTTCCCTTTCCGGCATCCTTTGTCTCGGTTCGGGGCGGACGATCGCTCGCTTATCCGTTTCTCCGGAGTCGGTATCTGTCCATTCATCGTCCCTTTCTATTTCGATTACACTGTTATCTGACGATATTTCAATGACTTCAATTTCATTTGCAGAGCGTGGTTCGGAAGTAAGACGACGGCTACCCTCTGCTACCTCTTTGCGCAGGCGCGTGTCTCGACCTTTCATCCGCTGCCCTTTAGCTTCATTGCGTGTTTCATTAGCAGTGCGTGGTTCGAAAGTATGCCGAGAACCATGCTCTACTTTCTTCGTATCCAGTTGTTTTCTGGCTTGATCTCGTATTTCCGAGAATAGTGCTCTTTCGTCACTGTTCATCAGTCCAGGCTCTGTCCTGGGCCCAACCATTCTCGTGCCCAGTGCCTCTGGTACTGGGAGTAGGCTTGACCACTCCATTCCTGGCACTAGCGACTGTTTCTTTGCAATCAGCGCTTCTGCTTGCATAATCTTGATCTGCTCCATTGTTGGTGACCTTTGCTTTCCTTTTGACTTCGGTGACCTTTTGCTTTTTTCAGCATTTTCTAATCCCTGTGCCTCTGATACAGGGAGTAGATCTCACCATTCTCATTTTGCTTATTTTCTTTCAATCCCTGTGCCTCTGGTACTGGGATAGCTGTTTGCCCCGAATCATTTCTTGGTTGAAGTTCAGTGACCTTTCCCGCATTGACTTTTGCAGAGGATTTCGGCTCATCATCTTCAGCTTCAGTTTCTCGTTCTTCCTCGTCATCTCCGTCTATCAGGACAAATTTCTTTGCGAGGAAGTCGAATCCTAGTAGGACTTGAACATCGTCTGACGCTGGTCTGACGTAAAATGAGTGTTGACTCGTTTTCTTTCTTAAGGTCACTGGTGCTACGCAGTAATGTGTTACTTCAAAGCCTGACGTTCCGCTGATTCCTCTGATCATCACCTTCTTTTTCGGTGGTAGTCTTACAGTCTGGAGGCCATTCCTTTCACAGAACTGTTGACAAATCAAAGACGTCTCTGCGCCCGTGTCAAGCATTGCCATGACCTTTTTGTTTCCAATTTTGACTTTGTGCGTGTATGCTTCAATCCGTTTTGGTAAATTTCCGTCTTCGAGTTTCAAGACTCTTATTCGACACTTGACTGGGATTGGTGCAACGTGCTTGCTCTCTATCAAGCCTTTTGAGCTCCAACGGTCTATCCGTTTCGGTACGTCGGGTCGCACGTCTGAGAACTTTTCAATCCTCTTTGACTTCGGTAAGGCATCCGTCTGCTCCTTCGCAGCGATTTCTTTGCCCGTGACCTTTGCCACTTCGCACATTAAACCCTTCTCCTGTGCGTTCTCGTGACTTTTCGTCACTTGCGCAATAACTTCGTATTGTGACCTTTCATTGCGCACGTCTTTGGACGGTTTTTCTTGTGTCAGGGCGGGCTTATGATTCAGCCCTTCTCTCATTGGTTGGTTTTGGGTTTTTCCTGTCTGGGCATTTCATGCGTTTTGATGGCTCTGTAAGGCAGCTGCGCTGCCTACAGAGACCAGTTGGTTCTTGGCTTGCGCCCAAAGCGCGGTGTGTGTCAGATTTCGGCATTAAAGCCTTCATCCGGGTTTGCTTTGTTCCGCCGTCGATGGTCGGTGCGCGCCTAGCCAGCGCCACTTGACACTTGCAACTTTGCCATTATCTCTTGCGTGATTTCATCAGCGAGGGTCATCTCGTCATCTTCGCTCTTTTTCTCTGGTGACCTTTCGTACACAACCATCTTATGGTCGTTTTCTTTCATCCAATCGGTGATTTTCTTCGCAATTTCGTTATTCGTGCGAGTGGGATCGATTTGAGATGATAATCCATCATTTCTGGGCGGTGACCTTTCGATGTCATTCCGGATTGCTTCAGTCATGTCATACGACTTCTCCTTCTGTGGAGTTCGCGTTAAGTCCGGTGACCTTTTCGGTCTTGACATGAAAACTCCGCCATTCGGTAACCTTTGTAAAGGCACTTTCTCACCATATTGAGGCGGTAATTCACCCTTCTCAATCCGCTCTTGGAACTGACGGTTATTTTCGTCGCAGTGTACTTTCTCTTTCCAGTACTCTTGTACTTGTGGTTGTGAAGCTTTCACCATTTCCTCGAGATGCTTTCTCATCCGCCAATCTTGTCTCTCTCTTTCTTCCCAGTAAGATTCTCTGGAAATTCTCGCATCTTGCGGTGACCTTTGTGGCGGTGGAACTGGTTTCCACATACCGTGTCGTCCATTCGGCCTATAAGCAACTTTCTGCCACTGCAACTTTTGTTGTAGAGTATTTGCCTCATCGAGAGAGTCATCTGAGACTTGCTGTGCCCCTTCGCTCTGTTTCACTGTTTGCTGCGCCATTCGCAGAGTCAAGTTTCTTTCGTGACCTTTCGGTTCATCGGCGTCTTCACCGTGACCTTTCTCTTTCAGTGATTCTTGAGTTTGTTGCACTGGCTGTCTCTCGTGACCAATCACTTCTTCAGCTCTCTCTTGAGTTGATTTTGCATTCTCTTGCGCTCCTTGCGCTGTTGCGGCAGTTCCGTGACCTTTCTCGGCAGTTTCCTTTGCTTGAAATACTTTTGCCATATGCTCAAGGAATTTTGGTCTATCTGGACTGTCTTCGTGCGTTTGTTGCACCATTATGTTCATTCCGTCGACTTCATATGTCTTTTCGACGAACTTTCGGAATCTCGCGTGATGTGTCTCATCATCCTCTTCGCTTGAGGTTTCCGCTTGCGTTTTTCGCAGAGTAGCTTTACTCTTTCTCGCGGTTGCTTTCCGCGGTGACCTTTGGGTCTGCTGTATTTGCAGCGTCACGTTACTTTCGTGACATCCTTGATTTGCAGTTACTTTCTGCTGATCCGGATGCAGAGTTGAGGCCCTTCCGTCAACCCTGTTCCCCGCAGTTACTTTCTGCGGTGACCTTTCGGTCGGCCCCGGTTGAGTCAAGTTACTTTCTTGACTTCCCGCAGTTACTTTCTGCGGCGACCTTTCGGTCAAATTCTTCCGTCCTTGCGGCAGTCTTTTTAAACCCTTCTCTTGACCTTTGAGAGCCCCTTCGCTCGATTTCGAGTTACTTTCTCGAATCCTCGGATTTCTTTTCCGGGTCTTTGCGTTACTTTCGTAGCATCCCTTTCTCGCTGCGGTCCTTGCCTGCAGCGGAGCACCTTGCTCCTCTATTTCCGGTGGTTTCGGTTCCGGACGATCAGTAGGCTCACCGGCGCCTACTGACCTTGAACGTTTCCCTGGCCCTGAACCGGCGCACCTTGCGCCTGGCCGGCACCATTCACCGGGGCGAAGTTAAATCCGCCTCCCTGCTGGCCAAAGCCGTTCTGGCCTCCACCGACAAAGCCGCCTTGCTGCCCGCCGAAGCCTCCTTGCTGCTGGTAGCCACCTTGACCACCGCCGTTCCAATGGCCACTTTGATCACCGCCATTCCACTGGCCACCTTGACCACCGCCGTTCCACTGGCCACCTTGACCGCCAAAGTTTCCTTGGCCTCCGCCATTCCATTGACCGCCTTGGCCTTCGAAGTTGTTCTGGCCACCTTGACCACCGTAATTACCCTGGCCACCTTGACCACCGTAATTTCCGTTGCCGCCTCCTTGGCCCGGGCCGGCATAGCCGTAACCACGGTTACCTCCGCGGCCGAAGCCTCTGCCCCTTCCTCTGAAGCCTCCTCGAGCCGGGCCATTCTGGCCGTATCCTCCGCCTTGGCCACCTTGACCCGCGAAGTTACCCTGGCCACCTCCTTGATTTCCATAATTGCCCTGGCCGCCTTTACCGGCAAAGTTCCCCTGGCCACCTTGACCGCCGAAATTTCCTTGGCCACCTTGACCAGCATACTGTCCGCCTTGGCGTGACTGTGGCACATATCCATTTGCCATCGCATTGCGCCATCCACCATGATTGTTGCGCAGCATTAGCCATTCTTCGTATACGACCCGATCGGGGTTTTGATACCACGGTGTTCCCGCGAATGAGCACGCTTGCGTGTGGTGATTGCCGTACATGCAGTTCTGGCATGTCAGCGCGTTATTGGCCACCCATCCGTCAATCATGGTGAACAGGCGCTCTACTCGCGACCCGTATCGTGGTCCTTGATTTCCATGTCCACGGTTCGGTCGGAAATTTCCCTGGTTTCCTCCGCCACCGTTGAATCCCTGGCCAGCAAAGCCCGGGTTCACCTGAGCCATTCCTTGACCACCGAGCCCTCCATTCAGGGCATTTCTTTGCACGTTTCCTTGTGGATTCTGTTTCGGTCTTGCCGCTTGCTGAGCTGATGCTTGGATCGCCGCAATCGCAGGTTTGGCTACTTCTTGAACAGCTGTTTGTATCGCCGCAATCGTCGCGTACGATACCTGACCTTCATTTCGACCGTTACCAAAGGTCACCTCTTAAGTGCCTAACGGCGGGAATTCCGTACTATAACCTGACACCTGCGCCGAGCACGACTGGTTCTGTCGCCCGTTCGCGACTTCTTCGATCTGGTTCGATCGGATGATGACGCAATCGTCTTGGACTCGATTGCCTCTCGTGACCTTATACTTTTCTTCGCCAGTCGACCATGTGCGGAAGAATTCCTTGATGTCCATGGGGTTATGGAATTTCTGCGCGCGAAGTGCCTCATAAAGGTCACTGTCATTTTTACATCCTTGAATCAGGAATCCGATGGCCTGCTTCTCGGTTATGATCCGTTTCGATTTGAAGCGCATGATCGCCTAGTAGAACTGGTCAAGCGTTTCTTTGCCAGCCTCAAACTTTCTCGTCATCGCTTCTCTTAAGGCGTTGACCCCTTCGTCACGATCGCCGAAATGTTCATTGAACTTTGTCATCCATTCATCGACGGTTAACTCATCCGCCTCCTCTTCGTCATCGATTTCTCTTTCCGCGTCAAATCATGCCTTCGCGTCCCCTTTGACTGCGTTGGCGACTTCCAGCATCATAGCTGCATTCGAAAGGTCATACGCCTTCTGAGTCTCCTTGACCTGACGGATCCAACCAAGTAAAGCTTCTCGGTTGCCGTTATAGTCAATCAGCGCGGATTTCCGGGACATGGCTCTCATGATCCCTCTGAATTCCCGTTCTTCGCGACGGAGTCGCTGTGCTTCAGCGTGGTATTCCGCGCGGTATTCTCTTTCTCGCCTCTCCTCTTCACGAGCTACCTTTTCCTGCTCGTTTTGGCGAACTCGTGGATCTTCACGATTATCCGGCTGGTGGTCTGACTTATAGACGATAGTTTCATTCGGTGTTTGTTCTTGTTGTCGAGGATTGATTCCGCCGATCCCTCCTGAGTGCCCCTTCGCCAAATCAGTATTGTCGATGACCTTTTCAGCTTTGACCTTTCCTTCGTCCTGGCCGTCACTTCGGCCGGTCCCTGTCTTTAAGGGAGCTTGGAAGTGGAAGCTGCCTTCGACGGTGTGAACTTCACCGTATCCCGGTGGCGGCGACTCTATCCGTTTCGGTCCCTTAGGGCTCCGTTGAGTCATTTCTTCTTCTTTTGCCTTTGCTGAATTTTTAAGCGCTTTAATTTCCTCTTGAAGCGTCTTATTCTGTGATTCGATCTGTCGGAATTCTTTCAGGAATTCATTAGCGTCTTTTCTCAACTTCTCATAATCCTTGTTTGCTTCGGTGACCATTCTCATCTGTTCGAGGATTGTGCTTGCCCGGTTATCAAGGGTCTTATCGAGATCCATTTTCGCTGCATTTAGGATCTCAGCTTCTGCTTCCAGGCATGTGATACGATCCGCTCTGTGCGCGAGGGTCCTTCCTCTCGCTTCGCACTCCTCTTTGACTGTTTCAAGCTCCTTGATTTTATCATCCTTTTCCATAACTATAGTGGCCAATTCTACGAGTTCATCGCTGAGTTTTGTGATCTCTGCTTTTTGTTTCTCGTTTTCCTTTTGCCCTTCTTTATATGCGACCTCTAGCACAGTGACCCGTTCGTCACACCGTTGTGCTTCTTTCAGCCACTTCTTTGCTTCTTTCTTTTGGTTCTCAGCTTCATCATTGAGTCGCTTAAATTCAGTTTTTGTTTTTTCAGCCAGTTCAAGCAGTTCCTTCGCTGCTTGATCTCTCTGGCTCTCTGCTTTGTGTTGTTTCTTTGTCTTGTCTTGCAAATCCATTTGAAGTGTTTTGATATTTTCCTCGCGTGATTTGAGGTCATCCTTCAGTTTTGAGATGTCCGCTGTCAGACTAGCTACCTTTCCTGTGAACTTTGTCGCATTTGACAGGGATTCGTCACGCTTCTTCTCCGCTTCTTTGACCTTTAACTGTAAAAGGTCACGCTCTTTTTTCAATTCCGCTATCTCCCGTGACCTTTCGGCTGCTTCCTCGGACAGACCGTAGTCTTCTGCGGTGAGTATACCTTCCGCGTCTCGATCTTCGACCATTTTCCTAAGATCTTCCGCAGCTTTTTTCTGACCTTCAAATCTGACTTTCCATGGTTGCGCTTCGTCCTCGAACGTGACCTTTTCTTGTTCCATCACGCTCAATCTGGCTTCGACTTCAAAGGTTTTATTGCGTTGGTCCCGGATCGCAGCGAAAGCTTGCGCTTCCTTTTCATCGAGGAGTTGTTCTAGTTCCTTGACACGCTGCTTTAATCCGCTCATTACAGACGTTTTTGGTGATGGTGACCTTTGTTCCCGGTCGTCGGCTCTTTCTGACGCCGTTCCTTCGAAGGTCTCTTCTAGTTTGTCCTGGAAGGTCGTTTCAAACATCCCTTTCGTTAAGTTGGCCTCTTTCATTGCCGTATGGAAAGACGTCCGTATCGTCGTTTCATCTTCATCGTCAGTGTAGACCTTTTCGCTCGACACGGGAGTGGTACCATTCTCTTCCAGCTGTTCTTGTAGGAACAGTGAGTTATCCGAAAGGTCATCCTGTTTGACCTTTTCTTCGTCAATCAGCATATCGCTGCTGACGGCGCCACCTCCTTCGGTGACCTTTTGACTGACTTCGTCATTTCCCTTCTCAACTTGATCCGCGTTTTTCTCCTTGACCTTTTTGGCCGACCGTGCCATTCCTCCGGTCTCGGCCTTCAGGTCGTCTTCATTCTGTCCATCTGCAGCCATTCTCACATCGGTGACCTTTGATGAGTCTACCGTGTCTCCGGCATGTCGCTCGGAGCTTTTTCCATTTCCGTCACTGGAGCTTTCATTCTGGGTTTCTTTTAGAGCCTTTTGATACGTGGCTTCTGACCCTTTGGTGTCCTTCCTCCCAAAGGTCTTTTGAGCTCGAGTTGCTCTTTCATGTTCCACTGGCCGTGTGTACGGCTTTAGTTTCCGTTCGTAAGGGTTTTCTGACCCCTGAAACCGTTCTCTCTGACTACCCGCTGAGACCGGTTCATTACCGTCTATATCTTGATCCAAGTCTGTAGGTTCCGTTGATGATCGGATAACTTGGACGATGCTGTTAATGTTTCTGACACGTGTGTTAGTTTAAGCTACGTAAGCCCCTTTACGCATAAACAGAAACAAGCGCTGTCCTAAAGGTCACCTTCCTTTCTATCAGCTCAACTTTACTTAAGGTCACTCTGCCTCAAAAGAGCTAAGTCTGTTCCAAAGGTCACTTTTTCCTTGAAAGAATGTGACTAAGTCCCTTTAAAGGTCACTTCCTTCGGCAAAGTTTTACTTATTTTCCGCTGTTTCAGCTTAAGAGCTTACTCCGTCACACTAAAGGTCACTTTTTCTTTCAGAACTTTTTCCGTTTAAAGGTCACTATCAACTTCGGTCTAGAAGGCACAAGCGCCGAGAAAGATCGCCACAAGAGGCAGAAGCCCGAAGGGGGGCACGAGTGGGCAAGCCACTTTTGGCTGTCGGGTGTGGAGTTTCAGGTGCTACTCTACGGCAGTAGAGAGCACACATAAAACGCGCTCTCCCAAAAGGGTGATCGAGCGCCCCTGTCGTTGCCAACGTCAAGGCGCGACAGAAGACCCGCAGCCAGCAAGTCTTTTGGTCGACGCACCGCTGCGTCCCGTTGACACGAAACGGAAGGGGTTATCGGCTGGCCCAGGAGAAGTCAGCTTAATCGCTGGAGGATCGCTGGAGGACGCGAAAGGACGCGGAGGATCGATTTCTGGATCACGGAGACGATCAGGTCAGATTTTCGTTTATTAATTCTACCATTGGTAGATAGGTAGAGTTCTCAATTTTTATTAGTCGGTTCTGAGCTGAGCAGCAAAGTAGGCGTAACTTTTGCGCACGGCGCGCTAGCAAAAATTTTCGATTTTGGTCGTGACGTCACTCTGCCTTATAATTTGAAAAACAACGTTCCTGATTGGTTGGTTATTCGCACTGTGATTGGCGCAGTAGCATAGCTAAAGTTAGCTGAGAAATCAGCCAATTAGAAGCTGAGACTTTGATAGGAGGCGGAGTTTTTGCGCACGGCACTCAAGATCGTGACGTAGCTAGTTAAGAAAATTTTCTGAACCGACTGATGATAAGTTGACCTTTACCAAAAATTTCAACGAGAATGGTGACCTTTAACAAAAGTTGAAAGCTGAAGAAATAACGTTCATTCTGAGGAAATCCAAGTTGATTCCGCGATAAAATCTAAAAATATTCTCAGGTTAGACGCAGCCAAAGCTACGACAGTAGCCCTGACCGCGTCAGAACAGATACAGTGCACTCTACTGCAGTAGAGCACACCGTTGTCAGTTCTGCTGACTGGATCCAAACGCTCCCTTCGCCACCAAACCGTACGCGAGCCCTTTCTCGCGGGAGAATCCTCCACTCCTCGTCAGATGGACGGGAAAATAACAGCTCACAGATTATCCTGGAGAAACACGACTCTTGCTACCATGAAAGCGTGAACCCGATGATGGTTCACGCGTAGGATCAGAATTGACGGAATTCTGCCTACCAAACAGATCTGGCAATGCTATACAGCGCCACGCTATAGAAAGCGAGAAACGGCGTGACTGCTAGAACTTTATGACAAGACTAAATTCGTAAGAATTTCTCAATGGACAACTCCGCATTGCTGACTGCAGCAAGCGTGGAAAAATGCGCACGTAGCCGCCACACAGTGCGGGTGCGTGCAGAACAGCGTGCTTCCGCCACGCGTAAGGCGGGCGTGCACCAAAACACAACAGACTGCCAAAGCGAGGGTGTACGCATGTACGCCTGCGCTCACAAGCCATACGAGGAGGAGCTACCTTGGCCCGATGGAAGGCAAATGCGCGACCATGAACCGATCACCCTGCCCGAGCATGTTAACACTGGGCCACGTGGGTGTGCAACACGGCTAGCCACCCAGCGATGGCGGCGCAAAATGGTCAGCACTCAAGAAAGTTTCGAAAATGGCGGGGCAAAATGGTCAGCACTCAGCACCACAGCACCAAAATCTAAGCACTTCTGCTTCTGCAGTCTTTTTCGAAACCTTCTTGAGTGCTGACCATTTTGCCCCGCCATCGCTGGGTGGCTAGCCGTGTTGCACACCCACGTGGCCCAGTGTTAACATGCTCGGGCAGGGTGATCGGTTCATGGTCGCGCATTTGCCTTTGATCGGGCCAAGGTAGCTCTTCCTCGTACGGCTGAGCTGTTGCACAGATCCACGTAAGGCAGATAGTTTCTACGCGTCAGCCAACGACGTTGGGTTACGGCGCCTTACGTCGCGAACGGAATTAAATCAACCCGCAACGCCAACTCCTACCCGCAAGTCGAACTGCACGGAACTTTGTATTGTGAAATCTAAAATTCGCTAGTCAATGTATGACGCTGCCAGGGTGTCCACGCATGTGGCGTCTATTGCCAGGGGCTTTCCGTGTTCCCATGGGATAAGCGTTACGACGTCCGGCCGACGTTGTCACTTCATAAGTTTTTTAGGGTAGCACGTCAATTTGCTGCCCCACATGTTGCTGACTTACACAGCTCGCTGGCCGACAAGTTGCTGACCGACAATTTGCTTTTCGCTACCTTGTTGAACGGCGTTTTGTCGAAGCATTCTTGTTGACCGACAATTGCTTTTCGGTTAACTTTTGAGTTTTCTTAAGGGAAGTGGACCGGTGCATGGTACGAAATTCTGAGCAGTAGCTCAGTTACAAGTTCGTCACAACTCGTTTTCATACAGCAGTTTTTATTTTTCTAAGCTGTTCTAAGTCGATGTACATGGCAGGAATAATACTTTATTATTCACGTAACTAATAACTTTTTTTCTCTGTATGGTTATTTCCCGTGTGAACAGCGTTTTTGCATTGATTGTGATCAATAATATTGTAGAATTAGCCTTTATAATTTATTTCCGACGAGGATGCCGTTTATTTTATGGTGTTTTTTTTGTGGGGCCGGAGTACTGTACAAATTTTCCGATCTGAGCAGTTCAATCGGTTTGGAATTTTCTGATCGGAAGAAACTAAATTATTCCGTATTATACGGAATAATTTACGAACCGTATATGCTGATTAACCGCTATCCCTAGATCTGCTAAGTCTGTAATGAAAGGTCAGCCCGTTTGAACGATTACTATGGTCATTATATTTTACGGCTGCATTCAAATGGCTTTAATGAGCGTTCTTTTTCCTAAGTCATGTTTTTGAACGCGTTAAATTGTGAACGATTTATTGACATGAAGTAGAGGTGGCAAACCGTACCCGGTACTACCGTATACGGTATACGGTACGGTAAAACCGTACGTAACCGTATAGGAAACATCTACGGTAAATGATTTACCGTACGTAACCGTAAGCCAAAATTCAAGTTTTAACATGGGCGAACCGTATACGGTACTGCCGTATACGGTATACGGCACGGTCAATCCGGTTTTTTCTACCGTAACCGTACCGTAGCCGTAGAGGCGTAGGCTAAAACCGTACGTAACCGTATTGAAATTCAGTACGGTTTGCCAGCTCTAACATGAAGCCATCCACCAGCAGCAACGTTTGTGTTACTGCTGACTTGGATTTCTTAGTTTTGTAGGAGTAAAAGTTAGAAACCTTTTAATTTGCTGAATAAAAAGGTATCAGTCTAAACTTACTGATTTTTCACTCTATGCAACCGGACTCAGAAATTGCTTTCAAGGTCACCTTGAGCTTCCAGCTCTACCGGCGCCGGCGTCTGTGCACGGGAGCCGGAGCGGATAATTACGAAAAAAATGCATGTGACACAGTTTCTAGACATGCTGAATCGAATGGCGTTAGCAGTTTTTCGATTAATTTTTTGGTTTGTTCTGACCAGATCGTACGGGTTTTCCGTTGTAATATAGATCTTTTCCTTGATATGCATCGTTTTCTTATCTTGTTTTATCTAATAACCTTTCTTCAATTTTATTCTTATGCAGATTAAATTTACGGCTGCTGAAATGCATACTTTGTATTCCCATAAGCATGGTAAATCGATTTAGCTAAAGCGGAGCCTGTTGCACTGGAAATCAGCCATATGGTAATTGTATGCGACGGCGGGCTCGCCAGAGTTTCAGCAGGCAGAACAGGAAGGTTCAAAGGCCGGATCAAAGACTCCGCGCCGGCCGTCGAACAGCTCGAAGATGCCCCACAAGGCCAGTTTGCTGAGTTGGGCCAGATCCAGCCCGCGCAAATCGTCATCATCCCAGTTGCGCGGACTGCCATCTGGTCGGAATCCGCTGTACCTGCAGCCAAGAGAACACCGCCAATTCCACCGCACCCAGCGCAATTCCGCTGGGACGTAATCGCCGGTTCAACAGTTACCAGTCTTACTTGGTCAAGAAGCCACGGATGACCTGCCATTCCGCGGGGTAAACCAGGGTCAAGCACCAGCGCCGGTGCACGGCAGCCACTTGGGTTAAGACGGGGGCGGGGGCCGGCGGAAACTGCCGGTCCAGAGTCCACATGAAACGCCGCGTGATACGCTGGCAGTCGTCGGCCCAGTCACAGATTAACCGGGGCAGGCCGATCAGCGCCTCCTCGACCAATAACTGCTCGCCGGAACCGCAGCGGCGCGGAGCATCCTGCAGATGGATGAAGCAGCGTTCGTGATCGGGCAAGGCATACCCGTCGGCTGGGCCTCCACGGACATCCTCTTCCATCGCAATAAACAGCCAGCGGCCCACTTCCACATCCTTGACGATCAGGCGGCGGCAGTGCGGCCGGAAGTCCTCC